TCTTGAGGAGTTCAGTAAAAGCCCTAACAATCAATGTGTTGATGCCACAGCCTTGCTCACTTTATCCCTGGGGCCATCATCATCATCATCATCATCACCATCATCATTACCATCATCATCCACCTCCATAAAACATCCTACAGAACTGCACTGCTAGACTTCAATAGCAGAAACATGCTGCCCTTGGATGGTGTAGTTCTGCAGTCTGCACAAATCCAAGGATCTTGTCATTTGAAGCCGAATGTATGCCGAAAGGTATGAGCAACACACTTCAATATTTCAGTTTTCATACAGAATAGAGAATAACACTTTTCTCATACAGTCTGTTGGTAAAAAGAGATACAGGACGCTTGCTGGCATGTTCTTAAAGAATTTCTCATCTAGATATTATGATGAGACAGGGTGAAGAAGGCCTGATATTGATACCCTCAATCTTAAACTGAAGGAAAGTTAATTTATTTATGTTCAGTTTGCTCTTCCAAAAGGATTGTAAATTCTGAAAATTGAGGATTGCATGTCATAATGTACAGTTGAAGTAATTAGCATTCCTGTGATATGTTTTTTCTTTTTCAAATATTTCCCAAATGTTTATTAACAGAGCAAGTAAATTCAATCAATATATATAATTAAATAAGCAAGCAGCAAATATACTGTGCTTGTTATTCATTAGACATAAATTAAAAAATACTGTGCTTGTTATTCATTAGACATAAATTTACCACCCAGCTTACAGTATTAGTATTTCTTTAATTTAAAAGTGAAACGAGGATTAAAGTGAGCATTAAACAAAAGCCAATGCTTTTCTGCAGCTTCCAGATTGTCACTTATGATAGTGCGGAAGCAAATGCATCCATCTGGGCTAAAGTTAAAGTTAAACAGGCACATAAAAAATGATGGCCTATAAGTTGTCTTGTCTTTTTTTGTGACTGACTATATTGTACTATACAAAAAACAACTGCCCAGTGTTCCGTCAGCGGTATTTCACAGTGGATGATTTACCTGTTTGTGTATCTTTTTAAATAAGCATAAGCCTTTTTATCATGTCAATACTTGATTTTTTGTGCATATAAGTAATGAAATTGGTCAGGAGCTCATGAGAGAAAAGAGGTTTGCAATAAAATAAAATAAAAAAAACAGACTGCACCTTTTTAATGTTTCTAAGTAAAACTGCTTTATATCTAAACTTACATATAATTAAATAATACTTCATTGTGGTTTTCTTGAATACTAATAGGCCTGTTTTTATTTTTAAAATCAAGCTCACAGTTTAATGAAGAAATTAACTACTCATTCTGCTGCTCTCTTCATTAGTTCCCTTAAGCTCTATTAGCATGGGGTTAATATGTTTTTACTTAACCTTTAGTCATTTTTAATAATTAAAGAAGGTTGTGATCTTAATCCCATGTGAACAGGGCTTTAGTAACAATATACAGCAAGCATGTCTATTTTTTTTCTTTCTATTCTTTTTTCTTTTCAATAATAAGTGCTTGAACGGGAAAAAACTGTGTAAAGAGTAAGACAACTTTGTAAACCAATAGACTTATTTAAATTATTATAAGCAAAATTAAATAACATTTTTGTCCTCCAGCATAAATTTTGCCCAGGGCCTATAAATTTGTAAAACCGGCCCCGATTTAATTCCCTGTGTAATATTATTACAGAAGCTTTATGCTTTTACTAGCATCATTCAAATGATGGATCTGCGACAAAGTAACGGAAGCAACTGTCACTACATATTTCATTTGTGTAAAACTACAATCACATTGCAATTTTCTCCCCATAGACTTCCATTCATACGCATGTGTATGCGACAGACCGGAAAGGCAAGCTCATGCGACAAGTTTTGCAGTTCACTGCATTGGAAAGATCTAAAGATATTTACATTAGATGTCGCCTATGTTGTTGTTGTCTATTGGAAGGAATGCGTCAATAGAGTCAACATTTTTTGGACAGGGTAGCGCTCCTTTAAAATGAATGTGAGACCAAGGTGCAAAGGACTTGCCATCTAGAGCCAGAGATACAGTGTGAACCAGCCTGATCTCACAAGGAAACGTAAGTATTTTACGTTTTGTCAGTTTAGTGGCTAATTCGTATGAATTCGTACGAGTTTAGTCGTATGAAAATGTACGATTGTAAAAAGGTGGCGTGGCACCTAACCTCACCCCTAACCTCAAACGTCACTGGGTGATGAGCAAATCATACTAAATTATACGAATTAGATTGTACGAATTCAATTAGCCACTAAATCAAAAAGTTACGAATTGCCGTGAGATTGTGTTGGTGTATACATATATCTATGATCGGGAGTTTTGCAGTATGCAAATATATTTTTTTAATAAAGAAAATTATAATTTGTCATGGGCAGCACAGTGGCGCAGTGGGTAGAAGGATCACTTTACAGCAAGAAGGTAGCTGGTTCGAGCTTCTGCTGGGTCAGTTGGCATCTCTGTGTGGAGTTTGGATGTTCTCCTCATATTCGTGTGGGTTTCCTCCAGGTGCTCCGGTTTCCCATATGGAGTGTATGGGTGTTTCCTGGTGTTGGGTTGCAGCTGGAAGGGCATCTGTTACGTAAAACATATGCTGGATAAGTTGGCGGTTCATTCCGCTGTGGCGACCCCTGATAAATACGGAGACTAAGCCAAAAAAAAAATTAAGGAATACACATCTTATATCAGTGGTTCTGTCCCATGTGTGATGTTGACCAATAGGAGCACATCATTTCTTCAGTACACAGCCTTTAAAAATGGCAAAAACGAAAGAGAGAAGCCTGTGATGATAGGTGAACATAAAATGGACGAGAGCTTCATGGGGTTTTGGCAACAGTACGCTTACCTGTATATCATCAAGGGACTAACTTAGCATGAAAGAATAAAAGATATTGATTTATAGGTGAGGTGCTTTAGCAGCCCGGTTGAGTACTGGAGTTAGTATGAACACTATTAAATGACTCATTACGTTATCATTTAGAATGCGCTGCATGACATTTATATATAAATTTATCTCATTGCCCGCTGTCTACTTAATGTTTCGCTGTAATTTTAATTTGAAGTAACGTTACCTGTTAAAGAGTCACGAAACCCCAAAACACATTTTTTGAGCTGTTGACAGTCGTATATGTGTCCCACACTGCTAAAAACACTATTAGGACATATATTTCACTAAAAAGTGAAAAATTTGTTTTTGCGTTATTTAGAACAAATTCGTACTTCCGGTTTGAAACAGAATTTTTGAAGCTGCGTCATGGCCATGAGATCTTAGCGTGTATTCCAGCGTGTAGACTGGACGTCTGTACCTGGGAGTACCGTATCTGAGTGTGTTGCATTGATTCATGAGTATGGCTTGGTTCAAACCAATCAGCGTGCTCTATTGTGTATGCGGTGCAACTTCATTAATATGTATGCTAGCTTTCTTAGACTGTACTTGAAACAGTGTTCAGGCGGCAGAGAGATGCCACGTTGTGTTGCCAAGAGGAGTGGGAAAAGAATAAGAAATGTTTGGCGATATGGGTCGTCAGTGTTGCTTTTACAATGTGCTGCAGTGAAGGTTTTGTTTTCATTTTCTCTCTATGAGAAATCCGGATTTGCTGCTCGTCTCTTTTAAAAAAAGACGCGGCTCCAGTATGTGTTGATTGTCCTGTCTACAGGTTTGGTATGTGTGTGCAATCAGCGCCCTTTCTTTGTTCATTCAGATGGCAAAGTTTTAGTTCGTATGGTTAGCAGTACTCTTTCAGTGTTTAAAGACAGACCTTGGTCAAATTGATCTCTAAGTTACTTAGTTGACGTTAACATCACTACAATATTATGGACTGAAAGATCTGCTGTAAATGCTGCTCTCCGAGTGTAAACACGTGAACACTGTAAGCAAACTATTGCCTACCGTCGTGTTTAATTTTCGCCGCATTTTGTGACAGAATTGTCTACTCACACACGGCTTTCTGACCTACCGAGTGCATTAGAGTTACCGAGAAATGCAGAGTTTTTTTCTCTTATACGACATGCGGTATTAAACATTCCACGGTTCATGGCCCTTTAATGCTAGCGTTGAGTGCGGGGCTGCTTTTTTTACAGCTATTGCTGGGAAACCGTTTCTGCAGCTCAACAAGCTAATATGGTTTTATTACTGTATAAAAAAAATCAACAATACCATAACTGTAAAAAACAAAGCTTGTGCATTTAAGAGAATAATGTTTAAATAATTTTAGAGTTGATTTGAATATTTTATCTCAAATGGTGTCAGTTAAATTTTTTTAACAGTGCATCCGATATACTGAAAATATGGATTCAGTACTGTATATAAAATCAACAAAGGCATAAGTGTAAAAAACAAAGCTTGTGCATCATAGAGAATAACATTTTGACAATTTTAGAAATGTTATGAATATTTTATCTCAAATGGTGTCAGAGTTTAATTGACTTTTACAATTTTTACTTTAAACAATACTGTATTTAAAAAATATTATAAAATAAATAAAGTGCTAAATTCAAAAACAGAGTGCAATAAGCAGGATGTTTTTCTGAACATTTTGGTACTGGTTTTATTGTATGATTTCATATGTTTGAATTGTTTAATTAATTCGTATGGTTAATTTATTTAGAAATAAAGCCTACATAGGACAACATAGGGCACATATTTACGGCTATCTGACCTATTTTTGGCTCAAACTCTAACAGGAGCAAATAATTTAATTGGTTTTGAAATCGAATGTCTAATGAATGTCAAACGTCAAACTAACTTTACTACATTAGCACACCTCACAGGATTAACGTACTGTTTTGGTTCAAAAAACTGAAACAAAAAACACACACATTTATATAGCATGGGAGACTGTGTGGGAAACAGTTGATGGACAATTACTGATACATTTGTAATGTATGCAATTTCTTTTTTCATTTAACAGTAAATATGGTTTTTAACAGAAGTACCGTAATTCACGCAAAGCATCTTGGGAAAGGAAAAAGGTGGAAAGGACATATATAATTAAAAAAGGAAAGGAAAGGATGTTTTGAAGCATGGTATGCTTTATTTTGTCCAAATCAGTGTAGACCTGTGGTATCAAACTCTCCTGACATTAAAGGGGCACAGTCCTTCAGAGTTTAGATGTGGCTCAAACACACCTGTCACCAGCCAGTATGCAGTAGTTTACAGGTAATTAGGAAACCCCTAAATAGCTGGTTCAACCATGGCAGAAATCATTGACCATGGTATCCAAAAGGCATTAGTTCAGTTGCAAACATCTGCAATAATGGCAACAATCAAAGAAGAACATAACCCACGGTATGAACTCATTTGCAGCATTTACCACACATTCATAAATATTTTATTATAAATAATAAAAGCATTTCATTAGATGATACATTATCTGTGACATTTAAAATACAGAAAATATAACAAATATTACAAAAAGAAAACATCATATTAGTCAAATTCTGTAAATTACTGTAAAATCAAGACATGTGGTTCAAATAGTCCTTCAGTATTTGGGGAATATCCAGACAGTCTATGGAGGACATTTTGTTTTCCGCCGGAAGGAACTTCCATAAAGAAAGTCGCACCTGAGACATCAGTGTTTTTGGACAAACTGCGTATAGAGAGGATTTAATGTTACAATCACAAAGAAACACACACACACAAACACATTAGACACATGTGCTAATACTAAATAAAATAATGTGAAAATGAACATGCCTTTTATAAATTGTGGGCATTTAAAAATACTTTTTTGTTGTTATTATTATACTTTGAGAGTGCTATTTATGAATATCCACATTGTATTTGCAGTGGTGTTCATATCAGTGTCAAATGCTTGAAGACAATTGGTTAACTATCTTAATAGTTAATAAGTTCACATGTTAATCTGGCCTACTATACAGTTATATATATCGCTGTGGTGATATATTAATAAAGGGACTAAGCCGAAAAGAAAATGGATGAATGTTCATGGTGATGGTTGACTTAGGTGGGGGGTTTGGTGCCAAGCCACTTTATTAGAATCATACATTTTTGTATAACTGAACTTATACGAATTTTTACAAATAAGCTACTAAACTGAGCTAAAATTCTGTGACTTTTTATACAACTGTTGTATGTGATCTCTGGTAACACGTTAAAATCATTGTTGTAACCTGATTAATAGTCTTAAACGATTTAGTAAACGGAGTTACTGTCATGATCACCAGCAATCTAGCATGTGCAGATCACTGGAGAACTGCTCATCTGCCAATTTAATGAACTACAACTCCCATCATGCACCTCACACACACCAGCTCCTGATAAGGCATGGGTATCTTTAAGGTGTTATTGGTATTACTACTTTTATCTATACCATTTATCGGTTCGCTATTTAATGGTTCTCTTACCGGTACTTTTTGTAGTGTTTTTTTTTATAATAAAAAACTAATTGATAAAAAAATAATAATAAAATGAAAAAACTAATTGAACAGAATTAACATCACTTTATTTTATTATTACGTTTTTAATGTAAAATAAAAGAAACCAATAATTGTAAAACAAATAAATAAATATATGTATATATATATATATATATATATATATATATATATATATATATATATATATATATATATATATATATATATATATATGTTTTTGCTGTAAAATACTTTTTTGAAGGAAAATGACTCTCAGTTTTTAACCATTCTTTTGGAGAAAAATCAACATGTTTGACTTTTCTGGCAGAAGTCAGGATCTTTCTTGGTTTATTGTACTCCCTGCAGTTGAAAATACCTTCTTTTAGTTGCAAAATGCAGTTAAATTATATAATGTTTATGATTTATTTATTAACGCATTCACATAAATAAGTTACAGAGTTTTGGGGATTAACTGTGTTGTTAATACAGTTTTGAAGCAGCTTGCAATGTGAAAACAAGCTGTATATTTTTTTTTTTATAATTTCTTAATAAGCATAGTTTGTTTTTAGGCCATTCATAGGCTATATTTGTAAATTCAGCTGATGTTATAAAATAAATGTTAGATTTATTTAGGCTGCTGCGAAGGTGTGTGTTTATTTAACTATTAATATTATACTAATTTAGGTGATTGACAGCCGGCATATCGATGTGGATCATGTAACGTTACTGTTAGTAGCTAGGCAGACAAAAACTTTTTTATAACTTCAGGTTACTGCAGTTAATGCAGTTCTGAAAGATACTTTCACTTAGCCAGATTGCGTGCGTTTCTGCTTAAGAAAACAACTTGTTGCGTTTGTTGCAACGGGCATTGTCGCTGTCCAGTCAGGAAAGACAACCCATTTGGTTCACTCCGCAAGCTTCCGAGCTGTGTGTGCATGAGTCTGTGTCACGAGCTATGTGTGTGTGCTTAGCGCGAGCCTCTGCTGAGTGCACGAGCACAGTCAAGGCTTTTATACTTGATGTGTTCACCGGAAACACAAGCATTTCTCATGTGATATTGCCAACTGTGCAGACGAATGTCAAATATCGCAAATTAGAAAAGATCGGTCAGTTAAATTATGCTACTGTAAATAATGTTTATTCAGTGGGAATTCTCCGGTACTGATAGCAGTAACGATACTTCGGTCTTTCATAATGTAGCACCGATAAAGTACCAAGTTTTGGCACCCATTCCTACTCCTGATTTCCCTTGATTACGAATACACAGCTGGAAGATCAAGATAGACTAATCAGATGGACTATAAACACACACACACATCGTTGCTGAGTCTTGTAAGCTTTACGTGTGCAATTCAAAGAGTTTCCTTGTTCCTGCCTTTTTTGTTTATTACTTTAAAATTGTTTTTTGTTTTATGTTGTTTTGCCGCCTGTCTTAACTATTCGCCTTTACTCTGACTATGCTTTAGAGTTATCTGCATGCTCCTGTCTGTCCCTGTTTTGACCTTTGCCTGTCTGACAACCCTTAATAAACTCCATTTGGATCTTCAACTCCATTGTACCCCAACTCAATACAGTTAATGACAAAAAAAAAACTATTTTATTTAAAAAAACTAATATTAATAAGGTAAATAAAATCTTTGCACTATCAAATTTAATCCAATAACTAATGTTGGCTAATGAGACTTTGATGTAAAGTGTTACCTATTGTACTTATTGGAATTCAGTTTTAATTTAATTTGGTTGAAACATGTATTTACTCTGAACACCTTTTGGGGGTTGATTTTATGCACAATTTTTGGTTATTATACCTGCTTAAGTAATTTATTACTTAAGTAATATTTTTTGCCACTTAAGACAATATTATAATAATACTGTATAGCAATTAATTACAACAGGAAAAGCAAATACCGTCATAAGCCTAACACGCACGCACTCACGCACGCACTCACACACACACACACACACACACACACACACACACACACACACACACACACACACACACACACACACACACACACACACACTTGTTTATTGTATCTTAAGGATAACTTTCCTTAGGCATAATGATTTTTATGAGATCATATTTTTTTGTCCCTGAACACTGGCTCTACCTTCAAACCTCCCTCAAAAAAACTTTCTGCATTTTACAGAACATAATTTAATATGATTTATAAGTTGTTTTCATTGTGGGGCCTAATAAAATGTCAAATTTGTCATGATTTACAACATCCGTGGGGACATTTGGTCCTCACACTCATCTTCGCATACACAGGAAAATTCCTGAAGCTGTTTTATTGTGCATGCCTTATAGATTCAGTGGTTACTATAATACACTGCTAAATGCTGCAGAATTGTTTCATCTTAAAACTTGGCAACTGAACGTTAATGGGATGAGGCTGTAAAAGCATTTGATATGTAAAGAGGCACTTATTATTAGTCCATTTTTTCTTGCAAAAATTTTCTCCAATACGCAACCAAAGTCATGTGCCACTTTCTTGAAATAAACTAAAATCGTGCCCTTACTATGAGAAGGACTTATTTTACAGTTGTGCCAAAATCATTCCACAAATCTTCCTAGAAAACACATGAAATCGTGTTTCATATTCATAAATGTACATTTTATGGATTGGAAATAGAAAAAAAGAGTAAGAAAAAAAGTAGGAGAACGTCTAAAAAAAAGCACACTTGCATTTAAAGTCCGTGTGAACCGGCATGGTAGTTGTTTTGGTAAAAGAAATGCAAAATTTAGGCTGTCAGTGAAAAAGATGACTAACAACAATCCAAAAATAGATATCAAACAGACAGGTTAGTTATCACGTGTGTAATCAGTCATTCCGTCTAAAGGCTGATTTATACTTCTGTGTCAAACGCTGGCGTATGCTACTGCATTGACGCATAGCCCTTCGCTGACGTGCACCTTTAAAAAAATGTAACTACACGTCGCAACGACGCGTAGCGCAAGCTCTGTGATTGGTCGGCTTGGTAGCACTGACAAGTCTGGGCGGGACCGAGAGCCGTGCGAATGGTGCGAGCCCGATGGAGCGATTGTTTACAAGTGTGGAGTTCCGTGAAGGAGCTCTGCATGGAAAGTTTTGTTTTGTGTTTACCTCAAAATGAGCGAGTTTGAGTGACTTGTACATCCAGGAAGTGTTCAGGCAAAGCAAAACAGCAGCGAAGAAACTCGACACAGAGAAACATTTACACCTCACTGACAACTAGCGTTTTGGAAGTGTTAATGCAGACCAACAGAGACAGCGCAGAAGTATAAATGCACAGCTACGGGCGTTGCATGCGCCGATGGTTACGCCGGTCACTTGACGCAGAAGTATAAACCAGGCTAGAAGCTTTCTTTTTCTTTTTCACTGACAGCCTAAATTTTGCATTTCTTTTACCAAAACGTCTATGTTTGGATGTCTATTAGATGTTTTTTAAGTACAAAGTTACTCGCGGTTATATTAATATTTCCTAGAAAAGCTATCAAAGCATTGTTGGCAGTGGATTAAGAAATACTGAGTAAACAAAATTTAAATCTTTATATTTATCAAAAATGGAAGTAAAATCAGGGGTTTTGAAAAATTGCTTAAAGCTGGGAAAACACTGCTGAAGGTACATTATTCATTTTGGACTTGGACTTTTTAAGTAAAATCTTCTTTCCAAACTCACAGCCCAAATTTAGCCTTGCTTTAACCAATGTGTTTATGTTTGGACATCTTTTAGATGTTTTTTAAAAATAAAATTGCTTTCGGTTATATTAACAGAAATTTAAAACCTAAATCCTAATGTTTATCAAAAATGGAAGTAAAATCAGTGGTTTTGACAAAATCCTTAAAGCTGGAAAACACTGCTGAAGTTACACTTAGGAATTATTCATTTTGCACTTAAACATGTTTTTAGTAATATCTTCTTTCCAGTATTCAGTTATCTTTCAAAAACAAATCAATATCAGTACATTTAAAGATCCGGTAAAGTGCTTTAAAATGTCAATGAGAGTGGTTGAGATTAAACACAACACATGAAAGCAAATGAGAAGCGTCTTAAATTGGATGGAAAATGTTTGATTGGTCAATAGATTTGATGAGAAACTGAAGTATGAGGTGGTCAAAAACATTGTTGGTCCATTTAGGTTAAAGTGTAATGTAAGCAACGTAAATGATGTCTCTTTGTGAAATATGCAGAATATAAAATAGTCACACTATTCGAAAAAATTCACATTTACACTGGACCATGGGCCCCGCCATTGTTTTCAATGATGTAATTTGGGCGCATTTTCAGTCAAATGGATGTTGCTTCTCATTATCTTTTTTTCTACACGAGGAGTAACATTATAACATTAAATGCTTTTAGATAGAGAGGGCAGAGAAAAGAAACGGTAGCCAATAAACATGCCGATGCTTGTCAATATCTGTCTTCATTGCTTTATCAATCATAACTGGACAGTTTCTGATAGGGTTCATTGTTGTCAGACACGGAAGTCATGATGCATTTGTTTAGGGGCGTACTCACACTATGTACATTGCCTTGAACCAGGCCGAAGCACACTTGTCCCCCCTCCCGTCTCTCCTGACGGCCTGCACTCAGATCGCATTCGGGCCTGATAACGCTTACGTCATCGATGATGCGCTGTTCAGTTTAAGAAGCGCTCTCGCTCAGCACAGTGGACATTTCTGTAAATCGCTTTAATCATGGGAGGCAGTGACACACAGACAAATATTTTGCTGGACAGATCAGACACTTCTGATGCTCATAAACAATCATAAAGTCCTCGTGCTGCAGAAATTAGGAGGTTTGCTAAAGGTGCAGCTGTCATGCAGTGAGGGGTTTGCGCCTTTAGTAATCTTCGTATAGCATAAAGTGAGTACGCCCTATATTAAACACTGAACTTACTGATTACAGACACTACAAATAGCCAATCACCAGCTCTTTTTGTGAATGAGCTGGTATGATCAATTGCAGTCATTTTTAGGTGAATTTCACTTAATATCTGCGAACGTTTGGACTCTTAAGGCCAGGGGCGGACTGGGACTAAAAATCCGCCCTGGCATTGTAGCCACACCAGCCCACATTACCACACCGACACAGCCCCATCCAAGGACACGCACATTCACTACTTAAATTTGTGTACAGATGGTAAAATTATATAAGCAGTTCCTATTTAAGAGATATTTAAACATTTAATGTATGTGACTGAAACAAAAACAACCCATTTATATATGCAATTATGTCATTCATTTTCTTTTCGTCTTAGTCCATTTATTAATTTGGGAATCGCTAACGTATCCTGCATATGTTTTATACAGTGGATGCCCTCAAAGCTGCAACCCATTACTGGGTTACCTAATTCCCAATTGGCCTACCCAATTCACCTATAGCATGTGTTTGGACTTGTGAAGGAAACCAGAAGGAAACCCACATGAACATTCAAACTCCACACAGAAACACCAACTGACCCAGATGAGGCTCAAACCAGCAACTTTCTTGCTGTGAGGTGACAGCACTACCTACTGCGCCACTGCACTGCCCCCTTTCGAGACTAGTTCAATTAATTTTATGTAAATGGCAATGTCTGACTTGAACGCCTTTCCCTTTTTATGGTCCATCTCTGACAATTAGCTTGTGTTGCACTTACTGTTGGTTTGACATTCTTGCCAAATTTTGATTATGTCTGCGTAACCTCAGATTGGGTCGGCCCATCTCAAAACCAGCCGGTTGTTGCTGATTGGGCCAATGCTTAACATTTACATTTACATTTAGTCATTTAGCAGACGCTTTTATCCAAAGCGACTTACAAATGAGGACAAGGAAGCAATTTACACAACTATAAGAGCAACAATGAATAAGTGCTATAGGCAAGTTTCAGGTCTGTAAAGTCTAAGAAGGGAAGTATTAGTAGTATTAGTATTTATTTATTTTTTTTGTTTGTACAGTTAGTGTGATATTCAAAGAGGCAATTGCAGAATTAACTATAATTCTTACTATTATCACCATCATCATCATAATATTCACATCTTGCACGAGATAAAAGCTGCCTACATTTAAAAAACAATACATATGAAAAAAAATAATAATAAAAAAAATAGCTGACCGGCCCACATTTAAAAAATGGTCCGGCCCTTCTGGCATTTGCCAGAATTGCCAGATGGCCAGTCCGCCCCTGCTTAAGGCTACGTTCACACTGCGAGGCTTAGTGCTCAATTCAGATTTTTTCTCAGATCTGATGTTTTTGCATGGCTGTTCATAGTGCTCTTATAAATGTGGCCAATATCAGATTTGCAGTGTGAACAGATCATAGTCCTAAACTGACCCGCACGCACAAAAGTGCATTACGGAGAACGCAAAATGTTTAATTATGCACACAGTGTGTATACTGCATGAGTAAGCACGTTGTCAGATCATGTTTACATGATTATTACCCTTTTCACAGACAACCGTGGTGTATTTTATGAACTGTAAATGATTGTTCTGCTACTACTAAGGTGCATTTCGGTATTTGAGACCTAAAATAAGTCTCCTGTGATAAAAAACACTGATCGTTTGTGATTTATAACAAGCGCTGTGCATGGCGCTCTGACCACCGGTGTAGTGAACTCATCAAGGGTTAATGAGCAGCCGCAGACTGAACTGTGGTTTATCTCCGTTTGCGGAGTTATTTAATTTTACCTCGTTATAAACAGCAGACATGTGCAGAAGGGTGATTTGGGTACACGAGCACCTGCCCTTTTTTCTCTAGGAGAGAAAGTTCACTTTTTGGCTTAACAATCAACCCGTGCCTCAATCGTTAACCAGATTAGCTAACAAGCACCAGTTTTGCCTTCAAAATCTTTTTTAACATGATCAACCAACTTTCTGTGTTACAGTAATCGCTCTGTGTGCCATTCTACTGTGCTGCTGAGGGGTAGATGATGTTTGCAGCACAGAATGATGACGCAAAGATTGTGTAAAAGTCACATGAAATTCGACATAACCGTTTACATTGCGGTCGCATGGCAAAACGTCAGATCAGTGTCTGATTTAAGACTGCATATAAAAGTGGCACAGATCTGACCTGAAAAGATCAGATTCCATGCAGTTTGTGCTGTTCACACTGTCATCACCTGAGTCACATGAGGGGGAAAAAATCAGATTCATGCCACAATTGCCTGCAGTGTGAACATAGCCTTTGTATAAAATGACCGCATTTAGTTTAAGTGTGTGCTTACAGCTTTCTTTACCAGTGCGCTTATTCAGTACCCAATTCACTAAAAGCCCTAAAGTCAGCTTAAAACCAAAATTTACAATGTTTAAGTCCTATCATACACCCTGCCCAATGCGGTGCAAGGCGCGACGCAAATGTTATTTGACATTTTGCACCACACTGTTTAAACAGCAAATGCATTTGCGCTCATATGTGCACCCATAGGTGTTCTGGTCTAAAAAGGAAGTGTGTTAAGCTGGCGCGTTGCTATTTTGAGGAACTAAAATAGACTGCAAAATAGACCAGCTGAGAGCCGGTCTGAAGTCCAGCGCAGAGTGTATTAGTTATGCGCCTTGCTTACACATTGCTTAAAACACACAGGATGTACAGCAATAAGCAAATATCTTTACAAATGAAAAAGAATGAAAGGAATAAAATATTACAATAATTATTATTTTCTAGCCTACATAAATATAAAAACCACCGCCTCCATGCCTTCTTCATCTCGGGGGGCTTTTTTTAATTTATTCATGACAACTTGCTTTTTTTATAATGTTATTATTAGTTGTAGTATTATTTATTAAATGCATATTTACATTTATTTTATTAAAAACAAGCTTAGATTTGCCCACCTGACAGGTTTTAGATCATATCGTGCATAGCATGTGTGTTTAGATATAATTGTTTTGATATCATATAGCTGTTTGACCACTCTTCGTTATTATTGTTCATTTATCTATTTGCTGGAAATTAGAACTAAATTTAGAAATAGTTTAGAAACAAATCTTTGCATTTAACAAACTAAATTAGTTATGTAGGCTAATGGATGTCTGTGAGTACAACACGTTTCCTTATCCACGAGAGTGCACAGAAGAAACAATTCATTTTGACAACCCTAATATTTTGAAAACTACACAGAAGGAGGAAACAATTTTCATGACACACTGTACATGTTCTGATTCGGAGGAAGAAGAAACTGGTCCATATGAACTGTAAAAGTTACTGACAAAGTCCCTGTCAAAGTCTGACAAAGCCCCCTAGTCTCTGCTACTCCCTCAATAGCAAAACAGTCAACGAATCCCGCATTGCAGCCTAGGTTATTGCATCAAAAATCAGAATAATGACAGGAACAAATACAGCACTAGGTTGGCTATACTGTGGTATTGTTGTCAAAATGAACTTTAAACCTTTATTTGACGCAGCCGAATCTCCATCTATCAGTGATCATCATCTTTGAGTCATAATAAGTCCCGTGATCCCCCAAGCCTCCACTAGTGTGTGAAGTGAAAGCATGTTTTACCAGAACTGGAACTACATATTTGGTGATATACTGTATCAACGTCAATGCGATCAAACAAAAGATCCGAACCCAACACGATTCTTTTATTTGACTCTGAGTCAACTATGTCGCTAAACAATCAATAGTTTTAAACAAGGTCCACTTTTAGATTTAAGCCTCAGCTGGATGATTTCAGTCACTTAGAGCTGTGTTACACACTGCATGGAAGGTCATTTTCAAAAACCCATAATAGGAGCTCTTTAAAACAAATATAAATATGCATTTAATAAATAATACTGCTAATAATAATATTATACAAAAGCAAGTTGTCATGAATGAACTGAAAAAAAAACCTGAGATGAAGAAGACATGGAGGCAGGGTTTTTTATATTTATGTATACATTAATAATTATTATAATATTTTAATCCTTTTATTTTTATTTTCATTTGTAAAGATATTTGCGTATTTCTGTACATCCTGTGTGTATAAAGCAATGTCTACGTGTTTAACTCGACTGCTTCACTTCCACTTTAAGTGCAAAAAGTGATTGTAAAATATTTCTTTTGAATGTCTATAATGTTGAAACCGGTCTTAAAAGATTGACACAAGTGTAATTGAGACTCACCTCTCTCTTTGAGCAGAAGCACTACTGCTTCATTCTCACTGGTGGTTTTATCTCCAACTAAAGGGGGCAGATAAACATTTGCTCCAAAGTCTATGAGCAGCTGAATGTATTCCAGCCCACAGCCATGTCTCAGACACATCTCCAAGACAGTTTTAGGCTCTTTGATCCTGGCCAGCATCTTTTCCTCAGTGCAGTTGTAGTCTGGGTTGGCTCCAAACTGCAGCAACAATTTGAAACAACCTAGATGACCATACACCGCTGAAATGTACAGTGGTCCTCGGCAAGCTGTGGCATTTAAGGCCCAGTCTGGCATTTTGGGCTTGACGTCTACATCGGCGCCATATTGAAGGAGCTCCTTCAGGATGTCCACATCCCCCTCTCTGGCCGCAGTCAACACAGGGGAGCAGTTGTTATGTGGGCTTCCATTAGGGTCTGCGCCAGCTCTTAATAAAGCGACAACACAATCTATGTGTTTGCCAGAGACGGCTGTGAAAAGTGGTGTTTGAGCTTTGACATCCAGGCTGTCGACCTCTGCCCCGTGAGCCAGGAGGACCTCCAGACAGCGTAGGTGACCCTGAGCAGCCGCCGTGCGCAGTGGAGTGACTGGGATCCCCCAACCACTGCGGTTGTTGATGCACTTTCTATATTGTTCCTGAGACAACAGTTCAGTAAGGAGTTTGTCGTCGTCTGTGAAGACAGCTTGATTCAGTTCGTGACTGCAGTTGGTGTCTTCCTCCTCATCCTCTTTGGGTTGAAGAAGAGAAAAGATCTTAGAGATGTCCATCAAACTCATGCTGGTGGACTTATCCCAAAGCACTCTTCAACAAACTGCTCGAGTCTCCATGTCATCGAACATACAGTCAGGGAAGAAAGAGAAAGTGTTTCAATTAGCATTCGAGCTTAACAATGACTACCAGAAATGGCAAAAACACACATCATTTACTCAAGTAGAAGTACAGATACTCATGTTTAAAATGACTGGTAAAAGTTGAAGTACTGACTACACTTTTCTACTCAAGTAACAGTAAAGAAGTACGGTCTGAAATCAATACTTATTCATTGCTATACCTGTTTTAGTTTCACGGTCGCAACTACACTGCACATCATAAATATCTATACAAAATATCTTACATTTCTAATTTTTTGTAAAAATTTTTGTTGCCAATTTTCTGCAGCAAAATCGCCATATTCAAGTAGTATATTCTAAAACATAATTATTTTGCCTATATACTGTATTTATAACTACGGGGTGGGCCATTTATATGGATACACCTTAATAAAATGAGAATGGTTGTTGATATTAACGTCCTGTTTGTGGCACATTTGACAATGTTTAAACGATTTAATGTTAATGTAAAATTGCTGTTTACATGGTAGACACTTAATCAGAGTATTGCTTTTATTGTATTAAAATTGGATTATTAAACATACTCAATGTCTTAAAAGTAATGTACACACAATGTTTTTTTCTTCTAGAAATCAGAATAACAGAATAATTTTTTACAAAATTATATATATTTTTAAATAAAACAGAATAACTTCGAACCTTTACTACATGAAATGCCAGTTACACTCTGAAAACTTCTGGGTTGTTAAGTTGTTAATTTTTTTTTCAACTAAATTTAAATTACACCTTTAAACCCAACAGTTTGTGCGTTGTTTACCCATTGTTGGCCTACAACAACCTAGCATTTTTTTGCATTGTTCAAAAAGTTATTATTATTATTAGTATTATTATTCATTCCTTCATTTTGTTTTTGGCTTAGTCCCTTTATTAGTCCAGGGTCACCACAGCGGAATGAACCTCCAACTCATCCAGCACATTTTTACGCAGCGGATGCCCTTCTAGCTGCAATCCATCTCTGGGAAACATCCACACACACTCATTCACACTTATACACTACGGACAATTTTAGTCTACCCAATTTATCTGTACCGCATGTCTTTGGACTGTGGGGGAAACCGAAGCATCCGGAGGAAAACCCACGCGAACGCAGGGAGAGCATGCAAACTCCACACAGAAACGCCAACCAACCCAGCCGAGGCTCGAACCAGCGACCTTCATGCTGTGAGGCAACAGCACTACCTACTCCGCCATTGCGTCGCCTATTATTATTATTATTACTTTTGTTTTTCCATTGATTGCATAGAAAAACCATGTTTTACGGTTTTAAAGGATGTTCGTAAAGGAACAGTTCACTCAAAATGTAAATTCTGTCAGCATTTACTCACAATTTATTAGGTCTAAACCTGCATTGAGTTTCTTTCAGCACAAGCAGTTACCAGCAATCTTAGAATTATTCTTTGACTTTGAATCTTTTGTTTTTTTGTGTTTCAGATATGAAGAAAGAAACTCAAACAAGTTTTGAAGGTGAGGAGGAGAACTTAAAGGCGAGTATTTATTTATTTTTACATTTTGAGTGAACTATTACTTTAATGGAGCCGTTAATGCCAAAAAACAACTTTTATCTATTCTTTAAATGTTTTAAACAATACAATGGAGTAGTTATTAAATTAAATGTACCCTTTCATATAGACATTTTGTTGATTATTGGTAACTTGCAACTACATGTCAATTAGCAAGCATTGAGTATTAAAAGATTGTCTGTTTAATATCTCCTAACACTTTATTTTGAGGCTTTACCAACCTGCTGACAGTAAACAATTCTGCAACAACTTGTCAATTACATTTTTTAAATAAGTAAAATTTAAAATTAATTAATAAATTTATTATAGCAAATTTCTAAAGGAGCAAATTCTCACTTCAGAAGATAGTATCAGTAGAAACTGTACAGTATCGTAGAAACTGTAACTAAACTTGAAAATATTTAAATGGAATATTCTGGCATTTTATTTTTGACTTTTTTGTTTTATGCATTTTTAAATGCTCTTAATTATTTTCAAAATTGTGGCAGATATACTGTACATCGTCCCTCCATTATAGGACAAAAAAAAAACAAAAAAAACAATGTGGGTTTGACAACAACAAATCAATATTTATGTACAATTGAGGATTCCAGTACTTGCTTATGATGTTGCAAATATTTTAGAAACAGTGTTTTAATGTGTTTTAATTGTGATGAGTTTTATAACACACTTCCACACTATTTGGATTAATAATGTGGAGAATCATGCAACACTGAAGATTGGGGGAAGGGCTGCTGAATATTTAGTTTGGTCAGGACAAAAAATAAATAAAATAAAACAAATAAATGTACAAACAGAAAGATATTTTTAATAAATATTAGATAAATGTGTCTTTTATCAAATATTTGCAGCATTAAAAATCAGGGGAGCATAAAAGTCTTCTTTAAAAACAGTAATAATTATAATCATTTAATTTTCACAAGCTCTGTTTCCATCCAAAGTTTGAATTAAAGTTACAGTTGAAGTCAGAATTATTAGCCCCCCTGTTTATTTTCCCCTCAATTACTGTTTAACGGAAATAAATATTTTTCAGCACATTTCTAAACATAATAGTTTTAATAACTCATTTCTAATCAATGATTTATTTTATCTTTGCCATGATGACAGTAAATAATATTTGACTAGATATTTTTCAAAACACTTCTATAGCTTAAAGTGACATTTAAAGGCTTAACTAGGTTAATAAGGTTGACTAAGCAGGTTAGGGTAATTAGGCAAGTTATTGTATAACAATGGTTTGTTCGGGAGACTATCGAAAATGATATATTGCTTAAAAGGGCTAATAATTTTGATCTTAAAATTGTGTTTAATAAATTAAAAACATACTGTGAAAATTTCCTTGCTCTGTTAAACATCATTTGGGATATATATATATATATATATATATATATATATATATATATATATATATATATATATATATATTTTTTTTTTTTTTTTTTTCAAAGGGGGGCTAATAATTTTGTCCTTAAAATGTTTTATAATAAATTAAAAACTGCTTTTATTCTAGCCGAAGTAAAACAAATAAGACTTTCTCCAGAAAACAAAAATATTATCGAACATGCTGTGAAAATTTCCTTTCTCTGTTAAAGATCATTTGGGAAATATTTTTAAAAAATAATTCAAAGGGGGGCTAATAATTCTGACTTCAACTATATGTGCAAAGCTGGAATATCGCAAAAACATTTGCAATTAATTTACCGTTTCCTTTTAATGAGTCAAAGAGAACAAAATCTTCACTTCCTGATGAACTGGCGGCAAATATCGAAAAGAAAAATTCAATTTTTCACAGTTCCCTGTGGGTTCAGAAGACGCAAACACCACAATAAACTGTGAGGTAATAATACAGAACCACTTTGATGACAGACCTAATGACAGATGGCTAAGGTTTAGAATGACTAAAACATTGCAAAAAGATGACTTACAAAGGAGTCGATCCACTTTTTTTTTTGTCTATTAATGATGTCCCATCATGCCTATTTTTGCTATTTCATAATCTTTTAAAACAAAATCACATTTTTTGATGCACATGCTGGAGTTTAATTGGTCTATCATAGTTTATACGCATTTCTTCTTATCGAATAAAACATTCAAATTACTCACTTGTGTTCATATGTTTTCTTTAAATGTGCATTTTCAAAATGTATGCACATTTTGTCATTTCCTTTTTATGTGATAGTTCAAAATGTGCATAAAAATAAGTGGATTAAAAAATAGCTACAGTCAGTTTGCCAAATGTGATCATTAACAGTGGCGGTTAGTGGCTATTTCAGAAACAAATAAACAAATATCATAGCATTCCACCAAGCAGAGACCAGGTATCCTTTAAATGCAGGTTATGACATGCTCCAATAAAATAGAATTTCTTATAATTGTAGCTTACCTGTACAGTGTGTAGTATCCACAAATAAAATGCATGTAACGCGGTAGCAGCGAGGGTCAGTATGACACCAACAGATCTGAGCAGCCACAGGCGCTAAGTTTAGGCCACAAATGGATCAGCCCAAACTTCCATTCTTGGAGAGCCAGAGGAATGAGTTATAATTAGAAAGGTGATAGACCTGTGACAGACACAGACAACATGGCTGTCGGTGTAACACACCATGCTCTAATGGGATCTCTATTGTGAGATTGATTGAGAAGTTTTGCCAAACAACAAGGTGTTAGTGAAAGAGTGAAGGCTGTAGCTTGTGTTGTAATCTCAGAGTCATTCAGCGTTTCTGTCATGATAACTGTGTGCTGCAGCTGTTGGGCTGTCGGGAGCTGTAGATGACTCAGCTGCTGATGTACCTACAGTCCTGAGAGACAAATGTTCTGCAGTTATTTTTGTTTTCATACTGTCTGGGAGTTCTTCACTGGTAAACCATGCTATTTTAAGTTTCAAGATAACCCTGTATAGATTGTAGTAATAGATTTTTATTATTACATTTTCATATTTTTAGTTTTTATTTTATTTTAAGTGAAAGTAAACTATTACGATCCTTCTGCTAAACTAACTATAAAGAATAAAGTGAGCTATTTATATATATTTATATATATAACTATTTATATATATAACTATATATATATATGTATTATATATATTCATTCATTCATTCATTCATTCATTCATTCATTTTCTTGTCAGCTTAGTCCCTTTATTAATCCGGGGTTGCCACAGCGTAATGTACCGCCAACTTATCCAGCAAGTTTTTTACGCAGCGGATGCTCTTCCAGCCGCAACCCATCTCTGGGAAACATCCACCCACACACATTCACAAACACACTCATACACTACAGACAATTTAGCCTACCCAATTCACCTGTACCGCATGTCTTTGGACTGTGGGGGAAACCGGAGCACCCGGAGGAAACCCACACGAAGGCAGGGAGAACATGCAAACTCCACACAGAAACGCCAACTGAGCCGAGGTTTGACCCAGCAACCTTCTTGCAGTGAGGCGACAGCACACCTACTGCGCCACTGCCTTGCCCATATATATATATATAAAAGAGCAATATCACACGAGTAGCAGTGCGTTAGTGCCCCCACCAGTGCCGATATACAGCCATATCGCACTTCTACGAGTGTGATATTGCGTTTATATAACAGTTTGATGGCATAATTGTGTGTATAAAAACAAAATCAAACATGGAGAGCCTCAAAAACCCTTTTGTATGAGGAACTACTTTCTTCCACCTTGGATTAAAATCATACACAGCAAATTCATCTGAGTTAAATTCTCGGTGTTGAAGCATTTCAGAGTAAAGTGTTGATGTTAAAGAGTTAGATTTTGATAAATGAATATAATAAGAGTTAGAATTGATTTTATTCAGTGCGAAATCAAGGAGTTATCTTTTTTACACTTGGTGGTGTTATTTCCAACATCCGGGAATTCATGCAGCCCCAGTCACTGAAGAATTTTTCAGACGCCATTTTCTATCTGAGGTTTAGAACAGCAACTGGTGAGTCAAACTACCTAAATGTTGGTATTTTACTGACTTTCTTTAAGGAAATACAGTTGTAAATATATTGTTAAGTTAATAACTTTAGAATGGAGTGACAATTTTAATCTTCTGCGGTTCATTCATGGTCGTTTGTGTATCTAGCTTAACTGCATTACTATTCACTTCCTTTCAAGAATGTTTTTATATATGCTTACGCATACATAGTGCATAAAAACATCAAATGTACATGTTCAACACATTTCTGTCACGCTTAATGCCATTTTGTGCGTTGTTGTCCTTTAATTCGAAGCAAACTAGCGAGGGAATCCCCTGAGCAGCCTAGCCCAACGTTACTCTGCCCGCATGCTAACGGCAACACAGGACGGTTTCCATAAGCTCTGGAGAGTTTCTAAAACATATCTGGTGAGTAAATGAACATATACTTACTAAAAGGCTTCCTGACTAAAACATATGATTGTTTGTTATTCGTGTACGTTAATTTGGTTATTTTAAACACCGCGGCCCTTTTAAACTGGTTCATTCGTGGCCGTAACGTATACCGTTAGTTCATAGACTCGCGTGATAACGTACGCTTGAATTATATTAAGCGTTGACAACCATTAAAGTCGGAATGTTAACATTAATGTCTTTAAATGACCGCGTTTGCACTTTCTCAGACATTTAACGTTACAGAAGTCTCCCGGAAGTTGCGGGACTAACGTTAACGTTATCCCGCAAATGCACAGAGACTCCCATATGCCCAAGTAGATGCCCGCAAATGAATGATAATCTCCCGGAAATCGCGCGTCTCCCGCCCGGTCATTAAACACTTTGCACACCCCTCTCCACCGCATCCCTCCCAGCTCTTCAGGTACGTCGCGCGCAAGTCACCCCCACCGCTCTTTAGGTACGTCGCGCGCAACTCATCCCATTGCTCTTCAGGTTCTCATCTTTCCCGCTACCTCCCGCAAATCAACTCTGTATCCCCCGAAAATTACTTTTCCCAACTCGGGATGTCTGACGTTAGTAAGTTAGGCTATTTATGTAGTCAGGAACATTTTAGTCAAGCTTTTTCTCCCGCATGATATCGTGTTTAAAACTATAGGCTAAACTTAGCATGTACTGTACACAACATTTCCGTTTTATTAAAGACAATTTAGTGCGTTGTAAACAGCCACCTGTCTGTAAAATTAATCATCTGATTCATATTTGAGCAGCCTAATGATGATACAGGTTTCATTTGTAGATTTATTATCAATAATCAACATCTGAATCAAAAGATATCTGAAAAAGTTTGAGGCATACTTTGTGATGTTCATCTCTCCTTTTTATCTGAAAGTTATGCATATGTGTTAGATACTAATGTGTTGTTGTTTTTTAACAGCCACAATTCTCTATACAATAACACAAGACCCTGTGACGGTGGCTGATTAGAGACGGATGGTGTATTTCCAGAGTTGGTGAAATGACCAAGCACACCTTCTTGGTCATATGTGGTGATAATAATGAAGGTATGTTTGATAAAGTTCTGTATTTGTTTCACATAAGCTGAGAGGGTATTAGAGCATTAGAGAATAACAAATGACATGAAGGTGATAAGTTTTGTATTGTGGGTGAACTGTTACTTAAATAATGTTTTGCTCTTTACTTTGCACTTTTCCTCTTCTGCTTATCCTAATATTTTAGATTATATTTGGACCTGAAACATCTGCTAGACTCCAGTAAAGGTGGCGTCAATACTGGACCTGAAAGGGCCTAACAAGTTGAATCAGGTAAAGAAACATGCACGCGCGCACGCACGCACGCACGCACACGCTTACAGAAAAGTGTTGTTTATGAAGTTTATGAATATTTTTTACACTGTGGCCAATATTTTGGGGAAGTCAGCATCACTAAATGATATAAAAGATTTTAAGATCCTCTAAATTTTGCTCCAAGTGTTGTGTTAAATTCAGGATTCTGGACAGACAGCTGCCTGTTTTTCCAGTTCTAGTCATAGTGGTTAACCTAATTGTTTTTGGAGATTCCAACAGTGATATATGTGTTTTTTCTACTTTTCCATATCCTGTCACCTCAACCAGCTGGGAGAGTCAAGTTGTGGATCATCATGAAGATTTTCAAAAGGTGAGTTTGGATTTCTTGAATGTTTTATTTACTTTAAATGTTCTTTTAAATATATCATAGAATTTGATTGCAATTTGTTTTCAAACATTTTTCTTAGTCATGCTGGAGTCTTGAAGAGTTCTTAGATGAGCATCACCCTATATCCGTGCATCAGGAACCACCAGACGAGCGGTCATCAGCTACTACTGTACATCGTCATGGATAAAAAGGTCATCCTGTGGCTGGGAAGCACTTCATTCAAAGGACATGCTTGATGAGATTTCCTAGCTCCAGTTTGTTTTCACACAAGTTTACAGCATTTATAACTTCATTTAAACTGCTGTGTTTGATATGGAGGACCAAGGAAACACCCGAAGTGAAAGATTTGCACGCCAAGTTGTTTAAAATGCAATTTCACAAGAAAACTATAAGTTCAGGAGTAAACTATGAGTGACGCTATATTGAGCTTTCAAATTGCTCTGATAACACATCAAGTTTGGACCAAAGGACTGAAACAGCCTTTTTGAGCACTGGTCATACATATTTTGTTGATACTGTCTGTACTAATAAAACATTTAAAGCATATTTGACATTGTTGCATTTTAAAAACTGAATGAATTGTTGAAGTGGTGAATGTTTTCAAATAAAATGTTTTTTCTTTTGTAATTTACAGTCTATTTTACCTTTTTACCATATTTACACTCAAGAGAGTTGAATAAAATAACAATATATTACACCAGGCGGTGTTAAATATAGTTACATTTTTTAACTCTGCCCAGAGTTAAAATTAACCCTTACTTCGGTGTCAATGTGCCAACCCTTTTGAAAGTGTTGATTTAACTCTGTTTTGAGTGGACCCCATGAGACACTTTTAAAGTGTTGAAATTAACACCCATAGAGTTGTTTTGGGTCCCCATATTTTGCTGTGTAAGCTGACAGTTAAACAGCTGTTAAAACAGTTAAAAGCATCTTTTAAACTTTAGGTCTGTAGTGTCTGCTTTTTGCTGGGTGTATGTGGGCGGAGTAATACACAAAGGGTAAAGAGGCTGTAGGAGTTCTGATATTGCAGAATATCGCACGGCTCTCAGCCAATCAGATTTGAGAACCAGACAGAACTATACTGTATATATAAATATATATATATATATATATATATATATATTGCATCATAAACCGCCCCTTTCCAGTTGTACACATTTGCTGCTCTGCAAAGCTCAGTTCCACTTGAAAATGACTAAAAGAATGTGCTGTAATGTAACTTTTGCAGCACGAGATGCGCATTGTTCATTGATGTACATTTAAATCATTCATGTTTTTAAAAGCACGAAAGAGTGCATGTTGGTGTGTGCACGTTTGGCCTCTGAGACGAACTTAGCACACAAATCCAGCGGCATCTTAATGTGAGCGCTTTAATGG